AGGCACAAAATGATTGTCCGACTTTGTGGCGCTCTTCATTCATGTTAGAGTATCAGAGCTGATTTCTCCCGGCAACTGTAGCATCGTTGAATTTGTTTAATGCGAGTCTAGTACAGAGACGGCATCGGTTTGCTGCACGACTCACAACTCTGCAGCTTGGTCTTTTCTAGTCATTACAATTTTGTGGCCTTTTGCTCATCGTCCGCCCGATTTTCAACGTTATCCATCTTGTTGCCAAGACAGGCTTTTCCTTGCCCAGCCGAAAGTTGATCTCGACAAGACAAATCTTTGGGCCTTTGGCCGTCCATCATCGGCGGCCACGGCGAGGGTGGATACTGCAAACCCTCAGGTCGTGCGGTGAGATGCCATTTAAAGCAGTCTCGTCTGCCCTCGGACCTCACACTTTTGCCGGGCCTGGTCAGCACACGGCAACTGGCCGGTGTCAACGAGTTGGGCAGACGTGTGGAGGGAAGACGAGGCATTTGCGGAAGAATAGCTTGAACCCTCTGTAGGGCAGGTGCTGGGGCCAATTTTGCACATAAAACATAATCTTGTTATTAACCTTCCTGCCAGGTCTAGAGACTGGCCAGAGATACAGTTTGGCCGACGGATGACTGCTTCATTCCCTTTCCCATACCAATCACACGCTTGCTTAATCAACAATCCCACCATAAATACGATTGGGATGAGGCCCAATTTGCCGTAAATGTCACACGTGCCATATGATCCACTGGCAACAGTGATTGTATAATGGAGGGGTAAGGTCGCCACAATACCAATGCCTTAGTATAGAATCCCGTTGGGGCTTCTGATAAGCCCATGGCGAGGTAAAAATTGCAGGCCAGCCCAGATGAGAGAGGGAAATTCAATAGCATCGTGGGGCCTACTCATCTGATTGTAAAAAATGCAATCATGAGTCCTTAAATCTCCCTAAATGACCAAAACTGACGACGGTATCAGGCATAAACAAGGTCCAATGTGTGTATGCATGTTAAAATTCGTTAAAGATAAAAATAAGTTAGTCTATTCTTTGACTAATTTGGTATCACTGGCTGAAAACAACTCTGGTTGAAGGATATAGTGGTATAAATAGTAAATGTAAAAGTATCTTGATTTTGCTGTTACTATGCTGTAGCCTTCCAAGAATGTCTACTGACATCGCTGCTTAGTAAAAAAGTATCCATGAAAAGTTGCAACTATTTTTTAGAGGTTGTTAGACCTTGTTTTCGCAACTTGGTTATATTGGTAGGAAGACCTAGAGAAACGTACCTAGTCTGGAGTCCATTGTATGCATGATCATTTCCAAAGTCGGGCCATGGGCGTGGTACATTCCCAGACGCTTAGCCGGCATCGTAGTCGGCATCATCAATAAGTCTCACCATTCGTATCACCACACTACAACTCGTCAAAGAGACAAATCAATCCCATCCTTTGACCAGATGTGTGCTAAACAGTTGTGGTATCTCCCATTCTGCCCTGCGCTATTCACATTTCCTATATCCTCCTATCACGGTACTTTTTTACATGTAGTGTGGTGTGCTCCTTTGAGTGGCATTCAGGAAAACCCTTCATACTCTACGCTGTCGATCCTACCCCCTTCACTCTTGTGCTGGGAATGTTGATCAGAGCCTGCCATATTGTTACGCAGTCCTCCTTCCCTAGGTCTCATCACAGTCTCCCTCTTGCCCCGTAAAATCCGTCTGCTCTCTCGCTGGTTCACGTATTTCACTCGACTCCTGCTACCCCATCTGTGTTAAGCTTACTTTTACTACGGGCTGAGGTGTATGGTGAAGAGTTTCAAATGCCGATCTTACAAAAAGATGATGGCAGATTCTTCTTGGCCAGCCGTTCGTTGGCTTTATTGGAACATACTTGCTGACGCTGTCCTTGACGCAATCTCATTATATTCCTGTGAAAACATGTTTTATGTAGGAATAAAATGCGAGTTTCGAGGAATCTCCTGACATAAGAATGATGTAACAACCTGCATTTCATATGGAAGTACATGATGAAAAGTTCGTAGGTCCATCCCACCAGAAGACGTCAGCTAATTCGCGTTGTACCTTAAGCCGTTTGGCTTTAATACGATGCTCAAGTTGATGCAATCCACGAGACAGTCCCCAACGCTGAGATTTTGTTCGATATATGACGAACAGACTCAGAGTGGTACTCAAAAGTCTTGTAAAAGCCTTCAGTTAGCACCAAGTCAAGCCTTTTTTCCATGTGATATAAATACTTTTTGC